ACCCACGCAGGCAACGTCTCTTTCTACGGTTCTCCATCTCTTTACCTTCCTATCTCTCTGTTTGTTCCTCCCATTGTTATATAATTCCCTCTTGTGCGAGATGTTTCCGGTTTTTCCCGACGAACCGGAGGCAAACAATCTAGCAACGAAAACACAAAAAAGATATTTTCAGAAAATGATACAACGTACGATGTTTTGTCACGATCACTCTTTTGGTTTTTTTTTTTTCATTGTGGTGCGCTACAAGCCAAAATTTTCGAATCACTTGCCTAATTTGGCAGCTAACTAATTATCCGATAAATCAACGTTGAAGATTTTTTTTATCACTATCGGACGACATCAAATTTCTTTTTATGTTTAATCATTGTGATATAATTATGACGATATAATAACTAAATTGGTTTGGTAACTGGGAGATTTATACAAGATAATTTAATGAAAAGTAACTTACGTTAATTACTTTTTAAATCTTCGAATTAATTTGTTTCTACTTTTCTTGTTTACTACTAATGAGATGTTACTTTCTGAAGTGTGATTCCAACCGATGATGCGCATAAATCATGCATATTCAGTTTGAAGAGCCACGAAATTTCATTGTTGTAACATTAAATTATAAATTCAGGAAAGAATGACCTGACATGAGGTTCAAGCATTTGTAAAAGCATAAAGAGATCTTTCGCTCCACTCAAGTAATTACTTTAATGCGCGATCTCCACTTCGGGGAGATTTGAAAATGTAGAAATTACGACAGTAATTCACTCCTTTGAATGATCCTTTAGATTCTAAAACTGATGACGCCTGCTAATTTGGGCCAAGAAAGTCCATTGGGTTTTACACATTGGATGCAATTACAGTTTCATTGGACGAAACTCGACGTTCGATACGCACCAACATAATGTCTATATCACCATCACTTTGGTTATCACCCGTTTTCTCTCTCTCTCTCTCTCTCTGTCTTAGCCTTCCAATTTCATCCTGGCCATTTCACGCCTCTTATCGCTCTCCTCCGTTCGTTTCGATTTTCCCGTTCACAGCTTTGCACGGTGTGGCCTGCCGACGTCACACAGTGCCAATCGCGAGGCTCGTTTATTTATAAGCAAAAAGTAGAGCGGCCAGAGCGCGAGAAAGAGTGGCTCTCGTTGAGTTGCTGAGATGACGATTCACCGAATTGAACTTGCTCTCTCTCTCTCTCTCTCTCTCTCTCTCTCTCTC